GTGTTTAAATTTACTTTGATCTTCGTTTTTACCTGTACCTCTAGGCATCTTTGTTTATGTTTTTATTCTCAAACCGCTAAACCGCTGAGAACTATTTCCATGTGCATTATTCCCCTTGAATTTGACAATTTACTCCCAACCAACCAACTGCCGCTAAAGAAGTTTCACTTCATAAATTCAAGAAATGTTCTTACCCTTTTAGTTACCCTTATTCTTATGTATCTGTCATTGTCTTCATTTTCGTCTTTATCTTCACTTTTGCCTTCTTTTTTTTTACTTCATCGTTATCATTTATTTCTTCATCTTTATATTTATCTTTATTTCAAAGCTTAATTTCAAATGTGTAGTGAAACAACAGGCGAAACATGTCAAATTGAACATGTTGCAGCAACATGTATACACAATTCGAAAATGTTTAAACGACGGTTTTGGCCGTAATTTTCCACCAATTGTGAAACCATAAAAACTCTGCTCATCTACGGAAAAATGCTTTTCCAACGGTGTCGGTTCGGTAGAATCGCCAAACGAACGGAGACAAAATTTATGTTAGCGTATTAATATATAGATATGTTTTTTCACCTTTCCGAAACCTACCGCTAGATGGTAAGCCGGGGTGTATCAATTGTGAGTAAATTAGCGTCCTTAAATTTCGAAATATTACAGTTTCAGGCATATCTGAAATTTACCGTTATATGAAAAGCGGCCGTAATTTTAGTCCGATTTCAATAATTTTCAATGTTTTGCTTTTATGTGGGAAGCACAATAAGAATACCGAGTTTGGTACAAATTGGTAGAACGGTTACCGATATACATATATGTGATCATTAGTGGGCGGTGCCACGCCCATTTTCCAAAACATATTTCCTGGTAAAGAATTGTTGCAAGCATTAATTTTGAATAAATTAGCTTTAATATTTACTGATTTATCGAAGATTTTGTATTTCTCTAAATTACCGTTATATGGGATGTGGGCGTGGTTATTGTCCGATTTTTTAAATTTTCGGCCATTTAGTATGTTGTGCCAAGATATACACATGTAACCATAAGTGGGCGTGGCTACGCCCATTTTCCAAAAATTTATAATATTCTTATTTTTCGTCTAAAAATTGTTGTAAATGTCAATTTTGAGTGAATTATCTTCAGTAGTTACTAAAATATCGCAGTTTTCGTATTTCTGGAAATTACCGTTATATGGGAAGTGGGCGTGGTAACAGTCCGATTTCGGCCATTTTCAATACCAACCTACCTTGGATTAACGGAAACCTACATACCAACCATATTTCGTTGAGATATCTCAATTTTTGCTCGAGTTATCGTGTACACGGACGGACGGACAGACGGACAGACGGACGGACAGACAGACATGGCTTAATCGATTTCTCTATTCATTGTGAGCATTTATGTATACATTTGTCTATATCTATCTCGATTCGTTTTGGCTGTTACAAACAACCGGTATGTGAACAAAATTAATATACCCTTGTGCACAAGTGCGCTCGGGTATAAAAATTTAAATGTACACGTCTATCAAGAATCATTGTTCGTTTTCAACTAACTGTCGTAGTTTTTGCATATTTCAATTAATAAAAAAACGTTACTATGTGTTGTTTCCGTACAATATGATACGAATACAGTACAATTAAGTAAAGTATTTCATACTTTAACACATTCCCACATGAATATATGTATATATACATATGTATAGATGATATAGTAGCTCTGATCTAATACTTTTCGTTTAAAATCCCGTAGTAAAAATGTCAAACAGCATAATCACTTTCTGAAGTGAGAGCAAAAAGTGAGTAACAGCAAAAAGTATGGGAACAAAAAAGCATCTTCTCTTCGCAACTCTCAAAAAATCGCTCTCATTTACATGACGGGATCGTTTTTCCTGTAACTTCTTGCAAGTTCGTGTAAAAACCTGTAAGTTCATTGAGTAATGGATCAAAGCTAATACAAGATTGCACAAAGAGAAGACGAGAGTAAGAGGAAATTCCGAACAAATGAATTTCGCTTCCCATTTTGCTAACAAAAGATGATACGCTATATGTATTCATGACTTTGACGTAAACCTAGCGCCAGATGAAGTAGAAACACAGATCATATTCCTAAAAAAAAAACTAAATTTAGGAATATATGCTCAGACTACTGGCTCAAAAAATGTAATTGATGCGGTGTTTTCGAGATATTTTAACGCCCTTGATTTATTATTATTTTTACCAATCATACCGATATTTTCATGTATTAAAAAATTTAAATTAATAAAAAAAATTAAATCCGCAAAATGAATAAAATTATGTGTATGTATTATTAATGCCTTTTTACGTCCCGAAAACCCCGGGATTATTTGCCTAGAATCCTGGGATTTTCGGGATTTGTAATTTTATTTGATTACCGTTTAAAAATGTTCGTATTTAAATCAAGTGAAAAGTCTTAACAAAATGGATTTTTCCATTATACATACACCAGGTATAATGGAAATATTCAATTCAAATACGCCCGTACTAAAATGAAGCATTTTTCATTACAAGGATGGCGTTTTGCACGTCTCGGATCCTTTTTCATATGTGATTAAGAATGTATATGTATAAAAAGCATGCACAGCGGTGACAACACACACACATACATGGTATGACATAACCCTGTAGGGAAACCCCGAACTGGTGAACCAAATTTTTAGTTCCGTACTAGATCTTTATCGCCAAAAACGAACCAGTCCGATAGTAACTAAATCGCCACCAGTTCAAAAGCACCGATATGTGGTACTTTTAAAAAACAATTTCAGAAATCTATATCTAAAATGACGAATTTAGAACTGGTTCAAAACTACAGAAAAAGGGATGCAGAACGAACTAGATCTCATCTGGCGAATTTTGAACTATTTCGAAACTATTGAAAAAGGGATGCAGCGGGGGGCTTGTTTACTTTAAATAGATTTTTGCTTGGCGGGTTTTTCGTCAGTCTGCACGTCGCAGATGCTTTTTCATAGTTTGGCAATACAAAACTAATATTTGTGTTAGCATCTTAACATTTTGGGACCTTCTGGAATATAACCAATAACAGTCAGCAGCTCTGCAAATTCAGCTACAGCCAAAGGTATGTAAACGTGTTTTCAAATGTACAATTTAATTTACATTCATTCAAACAAATTTGATTTAAGATTGAAAATACATTTCTCTGCAAATAATTGAAGTTTTCTACCATGGTAACCCAAAAAGAAAACATGTTGTTACTTTTTATACCCGAGCGCACTTGTGCACAAGGGTATTATAACTTTGTTCACATAACGGTTGTTTGTAACAGGCAAAACGAATCGAGATAGATATAGACAAATGTATACATAAATGATCAGAATGAAAAGAGAAATCGATTAAGCGGTGACTGTCTGTCCGTCCGTCCGTCCGTCCGTCCGTCTGTGCACACGATAACTCGAGTAAAAATTGAGATATCTTAACGAAACTTGGTACGTGAACTTCTTTTGGGCGTGGGACGGAGGGTATTGAAAATGGGCGAAATCGGATAATAACCACGCCTACCTCCCA